TGAGTGTAGGTACACAAAACGTCTATGAAGGAAGAAGTTGAAGAACATTCTACATCTTATATGAAAGTGTTGCGACCTTAGACATATTTAGTATCTATTTTGTTTTTGAATTAGAATGACAATAGTGTGTAAATCACTTTTGTTTCTGTATGTCAAACATACTCTTTTTATGATCTTCTTAATTTGAATCATCAAAGATTAAAATTTGACAGGTTGATCATAATGAGAATATCCTTTTAAATTATTAAATCTCTTTAATTGTCTATTATTAGTATAAATTATTTTGCTTCAAGTTGTACTGCTAAGTCGGAGAGAGAGAGGAGTCTCGAAAAACACCGTCCGGCAAACGACCGTGTATCTATTTTTGCCCGGTTTCTGTGGGCGACACACCAAAAATTCCCCTGGACGAAATTGGCAAAACTCTTCAGTTTTCATTTCGAACTTGCCGCGATCAGAACCCGAGTCGCGGCAAAACGCCATTTTTTTTTTTTTTTTTAATTCGAACGAACGACGATTACAATTCGGTTCTAGCTTAAACCGAATTCCACTCGAACTTTTCTGAGCTTTCCTATCGATTTTTATTGAACGCCTAACAATTTCCGCATTTTTTCTTTTTTTTAATTTTCATCCTGCGTTGAAAATTGTTTATTGTTATAAGTTAACGCGTGTGATATTCATTTTTTAATTAATTTTTCGCACCCATTTGGTTTGGTACTAACAACGAAAATGGAATATTTGGACCAGAAGGACATTGCCCATTTCCTAGCTCAAGAGCTATTATATCAACAGGTAAAATTTATTGATGGGAATTCCACATAATTATGGTTGTACCATAAACAGATAGTAATAATTAACAAATTAACCTTGCAAATTTAGGTACAATTGACTTACAGCATTGATAAGTTAAGTATTGTTGTAGCCCCTTTAATACTATAAAAGTTATGTTGTGCTATAACTATTGCATCTGCGAGATTCATTTTCTTATGACGTGATTGGAATGAGAAAATCAATAATAATTATTAGGTAGGTACCTATATTGAATGTTCAATTTATAAACTAATTATGTTTTGCTTTGAAAATGTTCTGCCAAAGAAACCATTGACAATGAGTTAATGATTCCAGAATATGAGAATGTTGTATAAGAATAAGTAGAGAAAAATGTGTCATGTCTGGGTATGCAAACATATTACGTGACTTTTTTCAACTTACTCCGTTGAAACCAAATATTATTTAACGAGACTCGGGCTTTAAATTGGTTTAGGTCTGGCGATATAGGTGGTCGTTGGCTATAACTTTTGTCAATGTTCTGCCAAAGAAAGCAGTGACAATGAGTTAATAATTCCAGAATATGAAAATGTTGTAAGAATAAGTAGCGAAAAATGTGTCATGTCTGGGTATGCAAACATAATACGTGACTTTTTTCAACTTACGCCGGTGAAACCAAATATCATTTTTAACGAGACTCGAACTTTAAATTGGTTTAGGTCTGGGGATTATAGGTGGTCGTTGGCTCTAACTTATGTCTTATGTCGTTGAGAAAAATATGTTGTACACATTCTCACGCTCCTCTTATGAACGAAAATTGATTTTTTTTCTAATGAGAAGATTTTATTTATGTACATTTTTCATCTTCGTTGATTTTTTTTTTCCATTGAATAGTGAAGGTTTCTTATTCCCGGCTCTTGTAAAATTATGTCTTACTATAATATGCTTTGTCCTTTTGGTTGAATACCTTTTTTCTTTTTCTTAACCTGAGGTTTGTTTTTAAGTTTTCATAACTATTATCACTGCCTGTGGTCGTGGTGAATCTGATGTTAACTGAAATATTTACTAATCTTGCGGAAAAAGCCATTTCGTTTTCCATCATATTCTATTTGGTGGAATTCAGTATTCAGAGTTTAAGTTCTATAATTTTTGTGTTTTGCTATCTCTTCTTCCTTCTTCCTAGGCGTTCTCTATCCTCTGGATATCGCCGTACCAGCGTTGTTGAGGTCTGCCGATGCTTCTTCGTTTCCCCCAGAGTCTCCATCTTGTTACTGTTCCGCTCCAGTTATTTCTTATCCACCGTTGGTCTTATGGACTCTCCTTCCGATTGTTCACTGATGTACCTATACTTGCAGCATTTCTAGGATCTTCTTTGTGAGCGTCCATGTTTCGGTTCCATAGGCAACTACTGGCAGAATTCATTCGTTGTAGACTTAAGTTTCATTTATTTATTTATTTATTTATTGACGAGAAACCCCATAATAACATACAGAACATCTATATACAATAATGAATAGACGTTAAGACAACAGATTAGCTGACGACAAGAATTAAAATAGATAAGCAAAAGACTACTCAACAACATGAGATGGCGAACATTACTTACAATAAAATTATATCTTATTACTAAATATCACATTAACAATTGATAGATACAGGAACTTTGCTTAGAGAGTTGAGCTCTCTTTCAAAGTTTTCACAAATACTGAAAAAGTCTAGGGTATTGAACTCATTAGAGCTTCGGGAGATAAAAGTATTCGAACCATAGTTAGTCCGGTGGATCTTTTCTGAGAAAGTAGTGGAAGAGTGTGTGGTTCTTGCTGGGGCTTGAAGTCCAATTCTGGATAGTAGGTATATGGAATCGTTGTGAGAGTTTAGTATTTTAAAAAATGTTGATAAATCACTTTTATTTCGTCTGGGGGCTAAGGGTTGCAGGTTGAAGCGTCATTAGAGGTCATCATAGTTGTAGATATAATTTTTGGGAGGGGGAATACCTGCCTTGAAAGCCAAGTACCGTATAAATTTACGCTGCACCTGTTCCAAGGCATTGATGTGGACAGAATGCATAGGTGACTAAACCGAGGAGCAGAACTTCAGGATGGGCCTTATCATTGTGCAGTAGAGAAGCCTGATGGAGGAGATGTTAGTAAAGTCCCTTGAACACCTTTTAACAAAGCCCAGCAGTTTCAGAAACCTGGTAGCGATATCCAAAATGTGGCTGGAGAAGCTTAACGTGTTATCAGAAATGACACCAAGACCACATTGTTGGGACACTGTTTCAAGTGGTTCATTGCTTATGCGGTTTACAAATTGTATGGGGCTTTGACTTTTGGAGAAACCGATAGCTTAACATTGAGTTCCATGTCACTTGTGACACACCATTCGGAAAGTTTATCCAAGTCAGATTGTAGTCTTGCACAGTCTTCGTGGGAGGAGACTCGGGCGAATATCTTTAGGTCATCGGCAAAACACAGAAACTCACTATTAATGAAACAAGAACCAATATCGTTGATGAAAATATTGAATAGCAGGGGGGTCCCAGGTGAGATCCTTGTGGTACACCTGAAGAGATGTCAATGGGCTGTGAGCAGAAGTTAATGATCTTGACTCTTTGGGTTCTGTCCTAAGGTTAGTCACTGATCCACGCATGCAGAGTACCAGATATTCCAATTCTCTCATGTTTCGCAAGTAAGACGTTGTGGTTGACACGGTCGAAAACTTTAGCAAAATCGATAAAGGAGTAAACAACTCCACCGCTTTCAAGATTCCCTGAGATTATATCCTGGTACGTCAGGAGGTTAGTTTTGGTTGAGAACTTTGGCCGAAAACCTGCTTGCTATTCGATCAGGAAAGGGTTGATGATTAGGAGTTAAGAATTTAGTTACTATATTCTCAAAGACCTTAGGGATAGTGTTAAGGATACTGATAGGCCTGTATTTGGTAATGTCCATTTTGGCACCGGTCTTATGGATGGGCGTGATAAAACTCCGCTTCCAAATCTCAGGAAATATCCCACTACTAAGTGATTCATTGAACAAAATAAACAGAGGACGAGATATTATAAAACTACACCTGCTGAACATCAGAGGGGGAATGCCATCCGGGCCAGGTCCACGAAAAATCCGCAGCTCACACAGTTCCTCATAAATAACTATCCGATGACTTTGATTGTTGTATTCTTGTCGATTTTCAATGTTATTTGCTATACAGGAAGATTTCTATGTAAAGTTTGCTTGTCGATCGTTTGCCTCCCCAAAAATCCTTGAGACTGACCGGATAATTGTTGTGGAATTCTGGACATTTACTGAGTTTCTTCCGTTTTGATTTCGCCTTATAAACAGTATCAGCAAATGATCCGCATCATCTCCAGATTTATATAAAATCTGGATACAGATACGTAGAGTTAGCAAAATGTATGTGACATCTTTTATATACGGACGCAGCAACTTCCTAAGATTTATGTAATTTCTTTGGTACCTAGCTATGCGAATATTGTTATCAAAAGTATGTTACAATCCTATATTTTTGTGACGCCGGTGTCATGTAAATTCAGCAATGTTTTGAGATTCACATGACATTTTTAGTTTAATCAACAGTGTTGGAATCAGCATCATTGGCAGATTCTTGACGTAAAAACCACTTCAGGAGAAACCATTAACTTTCATCTTTGAGGCAAATTTCTTCAGGATTTTCCAGGAAAAGTACACTGTTCAAAAGAATTGGTAATAACTGACACAAAATTACAGAAATCCGTATTTCCAACAAGTTCCAGAAAATGTTTCGAACAAGTTAGAAATACATACTATATCCAAAATATAATAGATAAATTCCAAATAAAGTGGTAATAAACTCAAAAATTTAATGTTTGCTTTGGTATCAGATAAAAGCGTTTTATTTTTAGCGAATTATCACATTAAGGTGTGCGTTTCGTCAAGAAATTAATAGATATAATTACTAGTAATTGTTGTGACTTAACAAATTGTTTTGTTTACTATTAATTTACATAATTATACCGATCGACTATATAGCCGGCATTCAAAACAAATTTTCAGGCGTAGGCTAAAAGCACTTCAAGTCTATTTCAACTTGCTAAATTTAAAGAAAACAAATAAAAATTTTTAGCAAAAGCACACCCAGATCAGCTTTATTTTTAGATAATAGTAGTTAGTTGGTTTTTGAAACAAAATAATTTTATTAAACCTGATTGGCTAATAAATATTTATTTTTATTTACAGTTTATAGCCTACGAGGGTCTAAATTCAGGAGTACCGACCAGAACTACCCCTACGCTCACCCCAACCACTCTCAGGAATATCGAGCAGACTTTTATCGAACTGCAACCAGAACCTCACGAAAACGAAGCTGGTTTCGTACCACCACTTGTACATTCTATAGGTAGGTGTTGGATGATTTAACAAATTAGTTAAAAATTGGTTTTCAAAAAATAGATCAGTGTCAAAGGATTTCATTGAAAATCTCTCGATTTGGACAATCTTTATGCAGAGAAGAACTTAATAACAGTATTTCAGAGTCAGATTTTTATCTTTGGTATAACCTTAGATTATGTGCCTTGTATAGAACCAGCCTCATACCTCTATGCCTCATACTTTGTACCTATGTAAATCTACCCCTTTTTACAATTTTAATTTTTCTAAATTTTTTACTCGACCAATCGAAAGATGGGATTACATTTAGTGGAAAAGCATTTTCGTGATTTTTCTTTTTGGGATTTTACGAGCTGTTTTTTGCCTTGATCATCCGACGTTGCCTCACATAATCGGTCATCACTGAATTATTATTTCACAAATTCTAATGCATAATTATATATTGTATATTCTAGATCAGAATTAAATGCTCTTCAAAATAAAATAAAATTGAATTATTTATCTCAAATAGGTAGTTTTCGAGATGTTGAGCCTTAAGGTTTGAAACTTTGTCTCAAATTTTGGAAAACCTTCAAAGCCGATTATCTCGAAAACGAAGCCCTAGGGCTCGATGCCCCAAATAACCTTTTTTGAAGCCCCAATCGAGATCTACCATTGGAAGAAATTTCGTAGGTACCGATAGCTTTTCTCTCCTGGTTCAGTAGAATTCACATAAGATTCACGTTAATATAACATGCTCGATTTAGCAGTGGTAAATGACAAAAAACTCCAGTGAATCCCCTATAGGACTAAGTGACCATCTAGTCGTACGAGCAGACACAACTGAATGCCCACTTCAAGGAGATTCAATCTGTCAGAAAAGGAAACTTCTGGACTGCTGACTATGAGGTAATTAACCAATACCTATATATCTGACCGGGTGAATGGACTACTTTATCAAGAAGACTTTAACTATGAAACGTGCGAAAACATGCCGACTTGAACGACATACGGCTATTTGCACCGCTACAACTTAAGGGATATTTAATTTAAGTGGAGCTTTTACAAGTGTCACATTAAAGCTCCACTTAGATTAAATATCCCTTATGATAGTCGTGCAAATAGCCAATATTCCACTTAAAACCAGGAAAGTCAACCATAGTAGGCCATGGCTCAACAACTCAATATTTCGCCATATAAAAAACAAGAGGAAGCTATATAGGAGAGGTACAGAAGAAACAGCAATGAAAACAACTACGAATCATACCGAAGAGCAAAAAAGAGTTTAAAAACCGAAATAGCAGAGGCGAGAAAAGCATATGAGAACGACCTAGCAATATCTTCAGACAAAAAATGTTTTCCATATATCAGACGAAATCTCACCTGGAACATATCCGCAATAACTCTAATGGCCATTTGCACCGCTATCACTTAAGGGATATTAAGGGATATTCAATTTAAGTGGAGCTTTTGAATATGACTTTTGTTTCTACGAGGGTCACATTCAAAGGTCTACTTGGATTAAGTATCCCTTAAGTTATGGTGGTGCAAATGGCCGTAAGAGACGAAAACACTGAGAAAATAATTACTGACAATTTTATTACTGCAGAGGTGTTTGCGGATCACTTTGAAAAAGTGTTTACTCGAGAACCACCGGTTAACATGACGAAACTACTTGCCTATTCGAGAAACGGTGCGACCCTATCAGCAATTGTTTTTTCCCCTGACATCGTCCAAGAGTCAATTCTCGCCCTCAAGAAAGATTGTAGTCCAAGTCCCGACAACATTCAAACCATATATTTTTACAAAAATGTGCAAAATCTATCAGCTCCCCTCTTGCTCACGTAATGACTAACCTGATGAGTAGTGAGACAGTACCGGAAAAATGGGAAGAAGCCTACATCATTCCAATTCATAAAAAAGGCGACGTAACCATACAACTGACCAACTTTCTAATGGAAAACAACATCCTTCCGTCTTCACAGGATGGATTTTTACGAAAAAGATCGACTGAAACCAACCTACTAACATGCTTCGATACATGGACATAGATGAATGACGAGGGATAACCTATTGACTTCATATACCTGGACTTTGAGAGGGCTTTCGATAAGGTTCTAATTAATCGTATATTAAACAAACTTCAGCACCACAGAATACGTAACAACGTATTGGGTTGGATCCAAGACTTTCTATAAACGATCGAACTTATCAGGTCAGAGTTAATAGGGCCCTTTCGACCCGACATAAGGTATATAGTGGAGTACCACAACGCTCTGTACTTGACCCATTACTCTTTCTCATATACCGGGTGTCTACGAGATCAGTTTCGCGCTGGCATTTGGTGAGTTTTTTTTCGATGGCAAAGATTTTTGGTATAGAGTGTAGGTTTGAGAAATGTCATCTTTTGACATGTGTGTCAATGTTTGGTAACTTCCGGTTTGACCGGAAATGGTCCTAACTCCGTAATTTTGAATGGCATCCCAATAATTTTTTCACATTTTTGGTATCTGCGAATCATGATGTGTACGAAAACGTCAAATTTGAACATTTTTGAAGAAATTTCAGAACTCTGAATGAAAATTTATTTTTGAACAGGAAGTGACGGAGCGGTCTTAAAATTGTTATTTTCAACTAACACAATCGTGGAAAAATGCGAATACCAAGTTATTATCCTATGCTTATTCTCCAAAGGCTTCCAAAGCTGAAAAAATCACATTTTACGTGATAACTCAATGAAATCAGTGAAATCATCCGACTTTCATAACAAATGTTGTTTACCTTTTTCAAAATAAAACCAACTATGCATTAAAACTTTTTATTCATGCCAGTTTTTAATTATTTTTCCAATATTTTCACTATGCATTACTATAACTGATAAAACTACTTATAAATAAACCCCTGTATTCAAACTTTGTATTTACAAATTCCCGAGATGTCAAACAATGACAAATAAACATAATATCTTGTGTCTTGCCCACAGATCTTGTCAATGACTTGTCAAGAAAAAAAAACACCAGCTCCTTTTGAAAAGCTTTCTTTATACAGGGGTTCATTTATAAGTAGTTCTATCATTTATAGTAGTGCATTATAAAAATAATAAGAAAATAATTAAAAACTAATATAACTGAAAAGTTTCAATGCATAGTTCGTTTTATTTTGAAAAAGGTAAAAAACTCTTGTTGTGAAAGTTGGGTGATTTTACTCATTTTATTGAGTTATCACGCAAAATGTGATTTTTTCAACTTTGGATGCCTTTGGAGAGCAAGCAAAGGATAACATCTTGGCACTCGCATTTTTCTACGATTGTGTGGGTTGAAAATAACAATTTTAGGACCGCTCCGTCGCTTTCTGTTCGAAAATAAATTTTCATCCAGAGTTCTAAAACTTCTTCAAAAATGTTCAAATTTGACGTTTTCGTACACATCATGATCCGCAGATACCAAAAATGCGAAAAAATTATTGGGATGCCATTCAAAATTACGGAGTTAGGACCATTTCCGGTCAAACTGGAAGTTACCAAACATTGTCACACATGTCAAAATATGACATTTCTCAAACCTACACTCTATACCAAAAATCTTTGCCATCGAAAAAAAAAACCAGCAAATGCCAGCCCGAAACTGATCTCGTAGACACCCGGTATATAAGCGACCTGCCAGTGAATCTCAAAGCCAATGTCAGTTCCTTCGCAAATGACACCACGCTATTTTGCAATCCCACCACAAGCAGAGAAAATCTTAAATCTGACCTACTGACGATATCCGAGTGGTGTAAGAACGGGTTGATGACCCTCAATGAAAACAAATGCCGTGTACTCCACATTGGCACTAACAATCCTTTTTACTTCGGTTCGGTTCGAGCTTAATGGCATAACTTTGGTATCTACGGATGAACAGAGAAATCTTGGAGTTGTTGTAACCAACAATTTGAAACCAGAAGCACATATTTCAAAATGCATCAAAAACTCAGTGGCCTACCTGACGAAAAAAGCATTCAAGGACCACTCAGTCACTACAACCCTACAAATATATAAGTCATTCATCATACATCAGACCCATGCTAGAGTATGCTCAGTTTGAAATCCATACTATGCCAAGGACATTGAAGCACTGGAAAGAGTTCAAAGAAGAATCACTAGAATTCCACCAGAAATTCGACACCTCACATACGAAGACCGTTTGAAGCGGTTCAACCTAACAACTTTACGTGACAGGAGGTCAAGAGGGGATTCAATTACAACCTATAAAATCCTAAGTAATTACTACTCTGACAACATGAATATGTATACTCTCAGTGACAATCACAACCCTCGAGGGCACTCCACAAGATTAGAGAAAGAGAGATGTTCTAAACTCCTCAGAAGAAATTTCTTGTGCAACAGAGTGGTCTATACGTGGAATTCGTTGAGCGAAGGAACAGTCGCAGCATCCAATATCAACTCATTCAAGAATAGAATGGATGGCGAGGTGACCTTAGTTTATTATCCAACACACTGGTTCATTATCCTGTATAATCCATTGAACAAAACACAACATCCGATTCGACAGTATACAACAGCTCTATCGGTTTGCTTGCTGTTATTTAAATATTGATAATAATAATAATAATAATCTTTATTTAAACCAACTGAAACTGGCAATTTCTTTCAAGACAAAAAAAAAATGAAAAATTATGTAGATTATTATTTGACTTGAAGTTGATTTGTGACTGACATGGTTCTAAGATTAAAACTTTACGAATATTCCAGGTAATAACCAATACGTCTCAGCATCCGACGCCACGGATCTCTACGTGAACCCCGCGTCCAAATCGCCATCGATTTGGCAAAGCAGCCTGTCCCAATCCAGCTCAGATTCTAACACTAGATCCACACCGCCATTGACTTCGAAAACGAATTTCATCAACAACACACCTCAGGGAACCACTAGAAGAAACATGGGTGGAAGGTAAGGCAAAATCAATTAAAACCTCACATTGTATATTAATTTGTGTATTTTTTTAATAGGAAACCGATCAAAGATATGAGTATATCACCTGAAGAAGAAGAAAGAAGACGAGTGCGTAGAGAACGAAACAAAGCTGCAGCGGCTCGATGTAGAAAACGACGCGTAGATCACACCAACTGTTTGGTCAAAGAAGTGGAGGAATTAGAGCACAAACGTCAAAAATTGATTGACGAACAACAACAGCTCAAGCAAATGAAAGAACAGCTTGAGTATCTTCTCGAAAGCCATTCGTCATCTCCCGGATGTCGTAGACGCACCTCCAGTCCTCCTGATGTAAAGCCGTTCGATCACATTTATTACGATAAGGCGTTGGAGAGAGTCAAGACGGAAAATATGGAGCAGATGGATAATGATATATTTTTATCGCCTTCGCCTACTAGAAAGGTAAGGATGGAGTGTCATTTTTAGGACTAATTTATATTAGTCAATCATGGGTTTTGTACAACATCATTTCCTATAGAAGAGGAATCGAATCTTGTCTTGGTGTCGATGTCGAGGTCCATGTAAAGAAATGTTTTGCATCTTCACAAAGAATTATTGTCTTGTGCTTTTTTTTTGTAAGAGCTTTATGTTGAAGGATCTATAGTAATCTATACACTTTATCACTCATCTACTTCATATATACGCCACCGTGGGACACCCTGTATAGTTTCTATCAGTGCTGGGACATGGAACATCTAAATTTTACAAAATAGTTGTTTTATTCAAATATTGTTATACATTCAAGTATGGAATGGTGTAAAACAAGCAGCACCTCCAAAGTCTTCTGAGAAAGTCTTCTTCGAACCATTTTGAAAATAACGAGCTGAAATAATAACATAATAACAGTGAAAATCACTGTCGGGACAAGTAAATCCCACTCAAAAATACTCATGGGACACATATGTCCCATGATCTTATTTTCCACACAATATTACTGAGAGTAGTTATTTTTTATGCATATACCTAAAACTAGTTTGTACCTACCTTTTACCACTACCAAAGTTTGTACCTACCTTTTACCACTACCAAAGTTTGTACCTACCTTTTACTACTACCAATTTTCATTCACTGCACAGTGCACAAAACAGACGTGAAAAGAAAACCACTCATAATTTCGTAAATGAGCAACGCGCATGCAGTGGCTGAGGGGGTAAACAAACGACTGAGGTCTCCCGCGAAAAAATGGCGTGAGAATTTCCACGGTAGTCGCCAAAATATACACACAAGTCCTTAAACTACCACTAGGACCACTTATTATAGATTTAAGAGCTGTAATAACCCCAGCAGGATTTTTTGAACTCTTGCTGGAACATATTTATGTCCCGCTAGGCGTCAGAGGGTCTTTTGAGTCAATTTCTGAGAGTGCTTCAAAATCTGTAGAGGAACTTTTGTACAGGGTGGTCCAATTGTGTGGTGGACCAGTTGTAAGAGCTTTTTGTTGAAGTATCTACACTTCATAACTGATCTACTCTTCTATTCTAGAATCCATATGTAGTACAGTTAGTAGACTCTCGATTATCCGACTCTCTATTTTCCGATCGCTGGATCATCCGAGTTGAGTAATACCGCGGTTAAAATCCGAATTGACTGAGCGACGCTGGATTATTTGAGCATCAGACAAGAATTGACCCACCCTGTACATCACCAAGAATCTGCTTTATCGCTTATTAATCTCTACTTCATTTGGGTCTTCTTCAAACACCACTTATATAAATACAACGAAATTTATTGTTTTTGGATAGTTCCTCACTGAACCCCTGTATCTGACTCTTATAAGGGTGGAATTTGAAATCCCAACGAACAAATTTTCTCTGATTCGCAACTCATTGAATTTCACATTCCTGTTGACTACTGCTAAGTATCTCTAGCACTCTGATATTCTAGTGTATTTGCAGTTTTTTCAACTTACCGCAGGAGCGTTTTGGCCACTTACTAATACTAGAGTCTAGCCATCACATGTGGAGCAACTACGATTGTAGCCGAAAGCCGAGCCGAGCGCATTGAACTTGAAGGAAGGTGTATATTCAGTTGCAGCAAAAACAACAAAAATAAACTAAAAATCAATATTAATTATAGATAAAAGAAAACTGATAGAACATCAAAAAATATTGTAATTTGAATATGCCTTAAAATTAAATATTCTATAGGTATTACGTATCTGTTCGAGTCCGTGTGGAATTATCATCAAATTCTAATATTGTCTGCAAAATTAATGCGTTTTTTTCTTCTCTTTCAGGACGATGAAGATTAGATTAGGATTTTTGCATTTTTTTTTTGTTGAAATACATTTCCTCTGTGGAGTAATTGGTAACTTTTTTCGCTCATTTGTAAGTAAGGGAAGTAGTTCATGTTGTTTTCGTTTTAAAGTGGGTTTATAGGCAATAATGCCTGTTCTAGCACCCTATAACTTTCCTACTATCCTAAATCCAAACTACAAAAAATGTAGGTAATATTTTTACTAATAATTATTATCTTGTAAAATGGACTTGTAATTTTATTTTGATAAAAATAAGAATGGTTAAGGAAACGATAGAAATAACAATTACATTCTTGTTCTCGATTTTCTATGTACCGACCAGAGTTCGCTGTTCGGCTATTATCGGGTTTGCTCCAACTGTGACGGCTAGACTCTAGTCTTACTAATTATTTTAGAAATGCTTCACCTTGGATTGAGTCCAACTTGTGTTTTGTGAACTAACAGGAATCAAGGATCAACCGATCTTAGAATAACATTGGGAAAAATTGGACCACCCTGTACATCTTTGAATTTTTTACATTAAAAATAAGCAGGACTGTATCGTTTCCTGTTACGCTCTCTGCTGCTCTGCTGGCGAGTGTGATATACTGAGAGAGCGAAAGAACGGATATGTTGAGAATATGGGTAACTGGTTTACATCCAACAAGGTTTATTTGCTCTTCTAGAAATGCTTTCACAATGGAATAAGTCCAATTGGTTCAAACCATCTTAGAACAAGCATCCTCATCATCATCCATTATCAACGATTCATATCCATATTGCCTGGAAGTTGCTAAATCAGTTCATTTCACTTACCCCTTCTTGCCAGTGAATATTGTCAAAGAGATAAAAGTACAAGGAGATGCTGTATCACTATAGCTATTGAGCAACGGAGGAATGGTGCCAAACAGTGCCACCAGAAAGAGAGAACTCCCCAGAATGAAGGAAGGACATCCGAATGAACGGAACTACTATCACATCGGTAACGAAAGTCAGATATTTCGGCATAATGCTGGAATGCAAACTCAGGTGGAGAAAACAAATTAACCAAGGCTACAAGAACTCTCATGGTGTGTCGAATTCTTGCACTCTAGAGATCCAAACCAGGGATCTTGAGATGGATGTAGATCATGAGTAAGACCAACCAATACGACTTATGGACAACATAATGTCGAAAGGGTGCAAAGGAAATTTCTGAAGTTCGCTTATTATCGGGCATATGGACTCTATATCGGGGGTATGATGGTGAATACCTCCTTGGTATCTTTGGTAGACTGTCTCTGAATAAGCGAAGAATTAGAATACTACTTTGTACGGTTTAAGTTGCTCAAGGGTGATATTGACAGTCTTGATATTCTAACACAATAACTACCATTTGCAGTGAATCGTGTTAATTCACGTAATTCTAATGTCTTTTATTTAATGCGTCCTCGGACTACTGCTGTTGATACTGTAACGAATAAATATGCAAATAAATAAATAAACCTTACTATTCATTTGGATCAAGAGTCTGGTTCAAGGAAGTGAAGAGTCAAAACATAAAAGCAGGTGTTCCACAGCAGCCATCAACACAACTGTTAAGTCTCGCTCCTCTTCACATTGTTGTGGAAGTGGTTGCTAGATGAGTAATAACTAGAATCACAAAGTAGGGATATGGCAATGGATGTTGGTTGAGAACGAGAGAATTGTTATCCTTAACCAAGCCTAATTATTCCGCCGTAGGGATGATATGATCACAACATATAATTTTGAGAAACGCTTCACAGTAGTGATAATAAGAAGCAGAGAAGAATGGAAAGGAAACAGCCCATCCATTCTTACAAGGCAGCAGAATGCTATATAAAATGGTATACTGATGGGTCAAGAACTGAACCAGGGACCGGAGCCGGAGTACTTGGGCCTGGAATTAAGTTCTCCAAAGCAATGAGAAAACACCCAGACATATTTCAGGCGGATATAAATGCTATAAGATGTGCTGCGTTTAATCTTGACAGAAACTACAAAAAAAAAGAGAGATTGTCATATTCTCAGACAGTCAAGCAGCCATTAAAACGCTGAGCTCACTCATAATAATTACGGAATAATGGTTTGCAAATGTCTGGATAAGTTGAACAAACTGGGCGAAAATAATAAACTATCCCTTCAGTGGATATAAAGACAAGCAGGGATCGAAGGCAATGAGAAAGAGGAACCAATTGGCGAAATTGGAAGCACAAACTCTGCTTTCAGGACCAGAGCATTTCGGTGGAATGGGAACGCACATCCATAAGGAAGCGTTCAAGAAGAGCGGACCAAATAGATCAGCCTTTGGGAACAACTTCCAGAGAAGATCAAAAGACCTTATATAACTGTGTAAAAACAATCTTTGCATCCTCAGTGAATTCCTTGCATTGTCATTTCCATTTGGTTGTTATTTCAATCCTTTCAATATTGTTGTTTAGGTCAATACGCAAATTTCTGAGGTGTATGTTAGTATTGAAACAATACATTGTTTGAACACATGAAGGATTTTTGATTTGAACCCTTGGCTGAATGATGTTCTCGCCAATTTCTACCTTTCTTTTGCAATTTGGAGTGAGAAACAAGCCTTTATGTGAACTAGAAAAATCGCAAAAAAAGCCAAAAAAGGTGTGGTCGAAAATTAATAGCTGGAACATACACTCTAAAGGTAATAATGACATACCCAGTCACCTAAAAGATGTAAACAGGATCATTGATGCTTTCGCTAGTATTTCGTCAACTAGTTACTCTGGTGGATAATGTCACGCTTGGGTATTATCTAAGTAACAAGCTGGCATCTATTCATAATAGTGACGAATGCAGGTTCAGGGACATTACTGATGAGGATGTGTATCAAACTTTTTCTCGATCAGCTAAGCTATAACATGATACTCTTTAGTATAGACTTTATTGCACCAGTAATCTCTAAAATATTCAATATCTGCTTACAAACTTGTGAAGTACCAAGTACCGAATCTCTGGAAATGTGCTGTTGTCAAATCCTTACTAAAAAATTCCAAGGTGAAGGATTTCTCAGAGCTAAGGCCCATTTGTCTTCTTCAAATCCTTGCCAAAATGCTAGAGTCAGTGGGATTGGACATGTTCCTGAAGTACATAGCAGACAAGAATATTCTGCCAGCGAATCAATCTGGATTCCGTAAAAATCATAGCACAGCCACAGCACTTACTAAAGTAACAACAGATATTGCAACAAATATGAATTGTTCAATGGTCTCTTGCTTAGTGCTCCTGGATTACAGCAAAGCGTTCGATTTGATTATTCATTAAATACTTATTACAAAAATGGGCTATTATGATTTCTCTGATCAAGTACACCAGTGGTTTTCGAGCTATCTTGAATCAAGAACACAAATGATCGAACTGGACGGAGCTAGGTCAATGTTGGTAACAATGAGATGTGGAGTTCCCCAAGGAAGCATTTTGGGACCCCTACTATTCAACCTGTATCCTGGTGACCTCCCAAATCAAGTACAATTTTGTGTTATGCATCTTTATGCGGATGATACACAACTCCTGGTAGGTTTTGCTCTGGAAAAGGCTTGTTTTGCTCTGAATGCTGACGTAAATTTAGTCCATATATGGTCTAAAAACCATGGTCTAGTGCTTAATGCGAATAAAAGTAACTATCTCATTATAGGTCAGATATCACTAGAAGTGGTTTCTACAGTCATAACTTTGTTACATTACATGTTAATAACTCCTTGTTGCCCTGCGTAGAATCTGTCAGAAATGTAGGTGTTATGTTTGATAAGCAGCTTGATTTCCAGGCGCATTGTTACGGGATGATTTTTCCCGCTCCAAAATAAAGGTATGAATAGCATACCTTCCTCAAGCCACTGTTTTCTATCCAATAGTTGTAGCCAAACTTTTCATTGGACTTTTTATTTTTCCCAGAATCATTGAGTTGGAGGTTTATTAATGGAATTGATTTTCTGTTAGTAGGGTTAAAATGAATAGACAATTAATTTATTAATAAAACAAAATCAAAATTATTTACACTGGAACAGCTGATTGTCTGATCGGAGTAGATTGTCTAGATTGACAGCGCTCCAAATAGGGTCAATGACCGGTACTAACTTAACTTGAATAAGTACCATGCCCCGACTACCATCAAAATTCCCCAGTACCTTCCACCTTGGAGTTTTGACAGAGACTTTTTAAAAAGGACCTTGCAGGGACAATCAGAGGTCATTCAGGTCGAGGACTTTCCACGATTAAGTGTTCGGGAAAATTCCTCAGGCACATTTTGCCGATTTTCTGAGTTGTCTAGTTTTCGCTCATAGATCTAGGGTGGCTAATCCGTTATTTTAGCACCCAATCGCCTTGTGCCGATTTTTTTGTGAGTCGGAAAAGAGCAACGTGACCAATTGTTTGTTCCTAAAGGCCAAAGTATTTTGGTGAGTCGTTTTTCTTATTAATCTTCTCTGTTTCTCTATTTCCTATGTAAGAGCATAATTTTCTGTTAATTATACGGTTAAATTCCGAATATCGGACATACTTACCTATTGCGCCACGTCCTGTCTCATTACGTCCATTTGTTTCAGGCCTTTAATCTTCACCTTTAGAAGTTACGCTTTAATCGTTACCCTTAGATGTCCCCTTTTATTCGTCACGCTTCAGTCCCTAACTTTCAGTAAAGAGTTATACGTTAAGCTTACGGTATACTTCGAGTAGGACCTACAATCTTCAGCCTCCTTTAGACCATTGGAAGCCTTAGTGCCCAGGGCCAGTTGCTTCTTGTTGCGGCCTTGATCCAGACTCAGGCCATCGGAAACACTGGAAGATATTAGTTCCATCCGTCAGGTTTCCCCAAGAGTTTAGGGACTACTCAGGTTTGATAAGTGTGTTGTATTGTCTTAGTATCAAACCTTGCCAACCCCTTGTTGAAGTGAATCACCACAACCACGCGGTTCTGCAACAGTATTAAAATTACCCTTCAGATTAGATGCTGTTATTTCAGTTTCAATTAATTATTACCTTTGTTATATGAAATTTACCCTTCAGGTTATGTACCATTAATTAGGTACTTCAATTTTAAGTATTTATCTATACCTTCTATATTATTCCATAATATCAAATTTGCCCCTCAGGCTATTTATTGTTACTTCAACTTTAATTATTGATTTATATTTCTCTAATAACTATCCCATAATTGCATGCTGCACTGAATACAGGTAAATACTTGTACACTGGTGTTAAATGGCCATTTATGAAGGTACTGCATTGAGTGAGCTTATTTGTTAATTAATATTTCAGGTATTATTGTTGTTAATTGTTATTACTCTTTATTTTTTTTATTTAGGGACTCAAGTTGAGTATAATTAATAATTATTATAAATACTGTAAGAACATATGGTTAGACGATTTCTTTTCTTGTTCTGTTCTGGTTCCAATGTAAATAATTTTTAGTGTTCCAGGGCGTTCGGAAAACTCACTCCGAACCTGTTCTAGAGTCAACCTATTCTGTTCTGGTTCTAATTAAAACTCGTACCTGATTGTAGCAAAAGCGTTTCACTTTTGTCCCTTCTTCTTGTTTATATTTCAGGTTGTGCTACTATGGTTCCGTAGAAGTTTCCTGCTTTCGTTATATCGGTTGATTTCGTGTACTGCAGGGAAAAAGTAGGTGGCGCTCTATATTTAGTTAATTAATTAACCCACACCACTCTCCGTATTGGAGGCTAGTCGGCAACCCTATACACGAAATCACGTTTCTAGATTTCAGCCACCAACCAACCCTTTCTTTCTATTCTTTCTCTTTTTAGCTACCCATTCACTGTCCCCCTTCCTTCAAGTTTCATTATTTACTTCTCCCTCCCGTTTTGTGCCACGTAATAAATTGGCACGTAACAGCATGTAGGAATTAAACTATCTACTAATTATATTAAATTGAAAAGCTTGTATGCCTTCAAGTATCTAATACCTGCCAAAATTAAGTTAATGTTGAAGAGACCCTCATCTATCCTCAATTAGATCATTGTCGTGTTGTGTATTACAATTACCTTACCTTAGAATTTAGGGAAAACATTCAACTAGCTCAAAATGCATGTGTATGATTCATTTATTGTATTAACAAATTCGATCATATATTGCTAGCGATATACTAAAATACGAAAACCGATTTAATCTATTTCTATGGATTCTTTGTCTACAAAATTTTGAAAAGTCAATGTCCATCAGTGTATTTGTAGCGTTATAGTGGCCAGACAAGATCTGCACAATCTGATTCTTAGGAATGTAGTTAGATATGATATACCCCAGCACCGTAACACTAAATTCAGAAATTGTTTTGCCTTCCGAGCTACAGCATTGCTAAACTCTGAAATGTACAATTCAATAATAGGAAATTCTCTATATACTTTTAGAAATAAATATAAATCCTATTTTGTTGAACAAATGTAATAAATAAGTAGTCTATTGTTGTGATAATTGTACCATATTTTAAGCTCTCTCAGGTGACATGGAAGAACGCCTTGCGAATGCTACCTTTTGTGTCATCCCTGCTATATTACATATTAAAAGTTGTTCTATTCTATTCTATTTGGAGATAGGATAGAGTTGTACCTATCATATTTTTGAATAACACTTTGAAATGTAACCACTTTTCTAACTTTTTCTTATTGTTTCAGATCATGTTGAGTCAAACAGTATTCCCGCATCCGAAGCCATCGAGACCGAACAGTCTGAACGTGGCAATAAGCTCAGCCTCATCGAAAATTCACGAGATAGCAGGGATCCCAATCACCACTCCATCTCAAGGGCTGTTTTTCAACTACGAATCTATGATGGGCGGCGGTACCGGTTTGACGCCGGTCAGCGCACCCCTGATACCGTCGTGCAGTACGCAGCAACGCAATATACCGGTCAGCGTCGCTGACTTGAGCTCGCCAGATTCTCAGTTGCCGCCCAAGCTTGTTAGTTTATAATGTTAAGAGGGCGACTAATATTTTTGTGATATGCTTGTGGAGGAGTTTTTTTTTTTGTAAGGAAAACTTTTTTGTCATATTTGAGGCCAATTACCAATTTGTTTGTTGTTGAGAATATAGGCTCAGTTTTTTGATACAATATACCATTTTTGCTAAAAATTGTATTGTTAAGGTATATTTACTATAAGTAATAAGTTTACTTAACATTTTATATGTGACAGATAATTGACGGAAGGTTGCCTTAGCCATTTTTTACTGAGGCTGTGTTACTTAAACTTGAGTAACTAATATTTTTCTTTAGACAATCATTAGTAATAATTGTTTTGTCACAGGAACAAACCAAAAAAAAAAAAAACTTCTGTAAACCATTTTCAAGTGTCATCTAGTGTTAATTTTTTCAAAGTATTTATTTTATTTAATAATTTAGGTGTAAATTTACTAAGGAATTTACCAAAACTTCTTACACAAATATTTAAAAATGGATCCAAATTTATTCTAGTCCATTCTAAAACATTTTGTTGCAATATTAGTGGCTAGCTTTAATATGCTCAAAATATATTTGCTAATAATTCCCATTATTTTTCAGTTGCGATAAAACCAAGAAAATGCCTTTTAAAGATATTTTTTTCTGTAGAGCAAAAGTTTTATTCCATCCATCAACCAATTTATAATTTATTAGTCTTTAGGATTTAACAAGAGAAATTTGAAACCTTTAAATTAGTGGCAAGTTACTTGTCCAGAAATAATAAAATTACAATTTGGCAATGATTGTATTTTTCGATTTGTCAAACTTTTTTCATTTTTTTTTTTTAAAGCGAATTTGTGTTACTAAATATAGGTATATCTATTTAATATATTTCTGAAAATAAAGTACTTTATATTTGAATAATAAATTTAAAAAATAAATAAAAAATTTATATATTATACATATAGCAATATTTGAGATTACAATATTTGTAATTCGAAACAAAGTTTTTTTTTATAGAGTTATATGTAGTTTTGTCAAGTTTTGTATTTATTTTATGCAATTTGCTAATATATTGTGGAAATGAATAAATAAAATTTATCTTTTCTGAGTACCTGTTGGTTTCATTTTCATCTATATGTATTTCACTTTGTAACAAAAATACCTTTATTAACTGTTTGTTACCAGTCATTCTTTGTACAGGGTTTTAATGTTAATGTCAGTGTGTGTTAAACTTTTAACTTTTGTCAAGTTGTTACATTATTTCTAATTTTGTAATCACTTTTATCTACAAGCGTTTGGTTATGACCACGTTATGACGTTTTTACATGACCATTTTCCTAAAATCTGTTTTTTTTTTAAAGATAAAAGTCAAAATGACATTCTGTTGGCAATACAATGTAAAATTGTCAAGCTTTCAAATTTTTTATGTAGAAAAGGCTTGTGTTGCCAACATAGTTACTAAATTTTTGACTTGGGGAATTATCTTAAAAAAAAAAACAAACTTTAGTATTTGAGTTGTGTCATGAGACTCATAACACACGTGTTCACAGAATACATATCCTCACGGATAGAAGGCAAACTGCCTAATAAAATTTTGGGGAACAATGCGCCGTCACGGCGCGGTGGATGCGATCCGAACTATTTATAATGAAGGTTTCTGTAATCAAATCAGCTTTCAAAATAGTTCTCCCAATGTCAATATTTTCAATATCAGATTTATTCGGACTTCAGTTCAGAATTGAACTACGCTTTCGCATTTCTTTATATAGGTCTGATATGACCAAATGCGCAAGCGCATTCCAATTTAGAACTGATTTTGAACTGAATTCCAAACAAACCTTTTTCCTCATTATTGAATATTGATGGACTTTTCTTCCGAGTAGAGCAAAAACGGCCAAACTAAGGTATTATGTTTTGTGTAAATTCTAATTTTTTTTTAAATTTAAGAAACATTTATCTGGATTTAAAATGCACACTAACACCAAGACGAATTCTTATTCAGAACTATTTTGACATATTTTTTTCAAAGATAGGTAACAGGTAAACTGCCAAAGTAAACTGTGACATATTTTCTGGTCGCGTTCATTCCGCACCTGTAGTTCTATTTCACTCCAGCGTCCCCAAGCGGATGCGATCCGAAGCTTTTTTTTTAGGCCCCGCCCTCCATTAAGCTTTTTTTTCTATCCGTGAGGATATGTGTTCTGTGCATGTGTTATGGACTAGGTTGTGAATCTGTAACACAAACTATGTTTGGTGATTTGACAAATGTCAAAGTTTAACCTGTAAAGGTAAAATGAAGGTAGACAACTACTATTAAACGAAAATAATTGAAGAAACATTCTTATTTTTGCTTTGTAACATTATTAATTGCTGAAGAGACATTATTTCATTTGAACACTGGTAAAATCGGTGTCATTGGTGTGTTTTGGTCATTTTATATTTATGGGGTCCAGAAAAAAACGAGGAAGAGTTACAATAACTGGTAGTGATGATGCTGGCGGCGTTATAGGAGCTCAAGTTCAAAAAATTTTTGATGACACCTGAAATGCTTCAAACCTATGCTTCAAACCACCTTCAAACCTTGTTAGCTGGTATACAAAATGTCACTGTTGGTAATTAGCAGGCGAGTCAGCAGGTAACAGCTCCTGTACAAAATGTAAACAGCAAATTTTTCTGCTTGCAAGTCACGTTTTGAATGTCATATCGATGTTGAAGCGTTTATTGATGTTATCACTGTCATACAAAGACTGCTTAAACATTGAAGATGCTCACGCAATGAAAGGACTATCCATGCTTTGAATTGATTCCGCTGGAACATGGTGGTAAGGCATCAAATCTTCAATAGATTCATTTGATGAAGCTATTGATGCTTTGCATCATGCTTTTGAATATTTCAAACCTCCACATCAGATTTATGGAGAACTTTTTTCATATCCACAAGCTGATGAAAATACTGATATTTTTGTTTGTAAATGTAGAGCTCTTCTATCATATTTAAAAGGAGATTCGGCTATTTTTGAGCATGCACAGCTAGATATGGTAGATAGGTAGGGATTTGGAGGGGTGACTTGCATAATCTTATACTTAGGCCTCTTGAGTGGGCCCATTGTAGATATGATATATGAACTTTTAAATATACGCATTAAAGATAAAGTTCAACGAGATCAAATTAAAACTTTCAATGATCTCATAGAAAAAGCTAGAGTTGTCGAACAAACATTATTTGATAATATCGCTAATGCAAAAACTAAGCAACATATTCAATTCAACGATCCCGTTACAGAATTATCGCATAATTCAAAGGTTCAATCTGTATATTGTAGAAATTTTGATCATGTTAAAGAAAATTATAGAAAGTTAGCTTCAAAAATGCTTAGTCTGAAACTCAAAAAAAATTCCATAAATATTCTATCGGACTACCTGTTAATTCCAATGCAAACATCTTGAATAGGAATTCCAAGCAAAATCTAAGTGTCGCAAATACTTCTAGTTTGATGTGTTATCGTTGCAAGAAGCCTGGTTTTATAAAAACTAATTGTCCTAACTGGTTGAAAAATACCGAGACTGGTGGCCTTTCCTCAGAATTTTATAATATAACAGCAAATAATTTGTTTTTACCCAATTTATGCACTCGACCCTTAACTTATGTTACTATACAAGGTCATCATGGCTTATCTTGATTCTGGCGCACAATTAAGTATTGCTGGTGCTAAATTGAGTAAAATTCTTCTTGAAGATGATATAGGTACCTTATATAAAGAAAGAATTGAAAGTGAGTCTTGCTGATGGTGAAAGTACTCAAGTTGATGCCTACTTCTTTGATGTTGAAATAATGCTTCAAAATAGAATTCATCATATTTGTCTCATTTCTATTCAAAAAATCATAACAGCAGAACACGTTTTAGCATAGATTTTTTGAAACTAGCCAATATAGTGTTGGATATGCCCAATGATTCTTGATTTTATGGTGATTTTCCTGACGTTAAATATTCCTTTATTTCTGATAATATATATAATATATATATATTATAATATATAATATAATATGTCGCTATTAATAATTTAGAAACCTCCGATGCGACCAAAATTTTAAAAGAATTTTTTTGAAGACCTGATGAAGGACTTAACCTTTCCCCTTAACAAGAGGATATTCTCCTCTATAGTAGTCAGCCTCCTTCTTTTGCAGAACATTCTAATAATCTCATAGATGAAACTCCAATTTCTGTACCTGCGTATCGCATGTCTGAAATAAGAAAAGAGCAATTGCGAAAAGAAATCGATACACTCTTAGCCAATGGAACAATAGAAGAGTGCGCGTCTCCATATGCTGCTCCTGTGTTTCTTGTTCCAAAGAAAGATGGTGGCATCAGGTTGACTGTTGATTACCGCAAATTGAATGCGAAAACAATAGCCGACAGATCCCCTTGCGTCGTATTGACGATACATTACATGCTGCAAAGAAAACTCGTTTTATGACAACTTTGGATTTAAAATCTGGTTATCATCAAGTATCAGTCAAACCATCTGATCGAGACAAAACTGGTTTCATTTGTCCTTTTGGAACTTTTAGATATACAAGGATGCCATTTGGATTACGAAATGCTCCATCCGCATTTCAAAGACTAAATGATAGATTTCGTTCTGGACTTCAAGATATTAAAATATTAGCTCAATGATATAATTATTTTATCAAACTCATTTGAACTTCATGTAAGTGATTTACAAAAAGTTTTTGATCGCTTAAAATTATTCAAACTTCAATTAAACCGTTCGAAATGCAAATTTTCTTGTTCTTCTGTCAATTACCTCGGTCATGTAATAACTTCTGATATTGCTTTAAACCCAGATAAAGTTTCTGCTATTTTTAAATTACCAAATCCTCGTTGTCAAAGAACTACTTTTTTTTTCTACAAACTGGTTTCGACGTTTTATAAAAAGCTTCGCTGAAAGTTCAAAACCTCTTACTTTTCTCACTAAAAAGAAAGTCAAATGGATCTGGGGCTCAGATCAAGTCAAGGCTTTTGAAAATCTGACATCGCTTTTAACGTCTAGCACTTTTCTCCAGCAAGCTCACCTCAATAAACCATATATTCTCAAGACGGATGCCTCTAGCTATGCTATTGGCGCATGTTTACTCCAGGTGAAGGGCTCAGAAGAAAGACCTTAAAATACGCCAGTCGTTTATAAACATCAGCTGAGCAAAGTTACAGTACAACAGAGCGAGAAGCCCTAGCAGTAGTTTGGTCCATGACTGACAAGTTTGGAGGCTATTTAGAATGTGCTCATGTTATCTTCAAAAGTAATCATCAGCCCTTGAAATGGCTTATGACACTCAAATCCCCTTCGGGCAGATTAGCAAGATGGTCTTTAGCTTTGCAATCTTTTGATTTATGTATTGAATATAATCCTGGAAAAGATATACCTAATGCTGTTGCTGATATTTTATGACGCCCTGCAATTCTTGCAGCAGAAACCAATCTTGTTATTGGCGATTTACCAAAAAGCAAATCAGATCAGACGCATGAACAAATGAATGTCCCAGATCTCGATAAAATAATCCAATGTTTTGAAAACTCTGATAATGGTTCTAATGTTGATTTTAAAAGATGGACTGAGAGAAGCTACATCATGAACTGTGGCGTACTATACCGTTATGTCCCTGAATAGGATGGAGATGAAGCTCAACAAGTAGTACCGAAATCCCAAATTCCTCAAATCCTTGCCGAGTACATTCTCCATTATCTGACCATTATGGTATTAAACGTACTTATCAAAGAATTGCAAGTCCTTTCTTTTGGCCTGGAATGAAAAGATAACCATGTCTGATTATGTTATGGTAAATGCGTAGACTGCCAACGTTATAAAGCTACAAATCTTAAACCTGCAGGACAAATATACAGACTTCTATTCAAAGAGAACGTTTTGAAACTATCTCTATTGATTTATTTGGTCCATTACCTGAAACGCACGATTATTACAAATGGATTTTCATAGTAGAAGATGCTACAAGTAGATGGATAGAACTTTTTCCATTGACGGTAGCGTCTGCTGAAAATTGTGCTCGTTGCCTAATAGATGAAGTTATATTTAGATATGGCGTTCCCAGACGTG